ATCCCATGACACAGCGCTTTCGTAGAACTTGTTTATGTCTTCTTGTATTATCACTGATATGTAGCCTTCTGTAGTAGGGTACGAGAAAGAACAAGCCACGTTTGTATCAGCCGCAAAAAAGAAATATTAACTGTGCTGAAATATTAATCACACGTCATAATGAAAAGGTGGAAGGGTAATGAACCAATCACACTTCCCTGTACAACTCTACTGGTTTTATCTACAGTCAAGATGTAGAAAGATCCAAAGCAAACGATTTGGCTACGTTCGGCTTGAAACGATTTGAACCAGGACAAAATAGAAACCTGCATACCAAATGGAAAAAGATATACAGGAAGATTATGTGAGACAGTTTAAGGCCTTATTAAAATCGAAAAGCAGAACTATCGCTGATCGAATAACATCTCTTTTCTAGGTATTTAATGAACGTTTAGCTACAAACCCATATTCAGATTGTCTAATTATTTTTACCGAAAGCAAGAATGATCATTGCTATTTATGGACTACATTTCGTTGTTACATTAGATTACATTATGGATTTCATGATTATTGATATCGAGGATGTCAAGATGATGAGAGGTGACATGAATTATAGCATAAAAATGCTATATAGCGAGATACACGAACGAATTTAGCTCAGAACTACAAGTGTCGAAACAAAAAATGAGTAACAATCAGAGCACACAATTCAGGTGTCGACATGGACAAAGGGCACGCATCTGTGTCTTACAATGAATTCCTAGTTTAGCGCTCAAATAAACGAACAAATTTCAAGAACCCATTGGAATCTATTATACAAGGACTCGTTGATAAAACAGTAATGTAAACACACGAAGCTACAGTTCTGCCGAAAATAAAACCAAAGATTTGTATACGCTATATAAACAACAAATTACTTGTAGTTCAATGACACGAACACGATACACCTGTAGTGATCTACTTTTATGAAGAGAACGCGATTGGTGTAATGGAAACATTTATCATTGTAACCAATTGTACCAGTGATTGTCTTACCCCCCCCCTTTTTGTCCAATTGTACCAACAACACACTCTTGCATTGTTTGTGGCCTTACACAAACTCTCGTACGCTCAGCAGTCTCGCTTGTAGATTTTGACACGATCTCGGTATTATTTCGTTATCACGAGATCACCAACAAATAGATCTTAACTACAACCTTCAACTGCCCTCTGACATTTGGCCTATGGAGGGGTTCAATCTCGTAACTGGCACATAGTCTATCTGTAGTGGTGATCATGGTCGACCGGGACTCGACGCCAACTATACACCCACAAGTTTGTCAGCCACATCTTTGAAGACAGGGGTGCACATGGGAGGAGTCCGGAAACAGAGTTCTCTTCATAGATATCCTAATCAGTAGAACTAATACAAAAACTTTGTAGTCGCAAATACGCGCGAAACCTAGTCATGCAGACCAAATCTTGGATCATAACAGCGACAACTTGACCCCCCACGTAGTGAGATATAAGCAGGAAAAACTTAGAAGAGCTGGACTGGATTTCAGCTTCCTCGATGTGGAAGACTGGTAAACGTCATCTCATGTACATCTTCTGTAAAAATGGCTACTCGCGTAACTTCAAAGAATGTCTACTTGATCGATTCACTATCATGAAATCATGTTTGAAAATCAGATCTCCCTCCCGCTAGCTTACATCTTAATGGTCCTCCATAAATTATAAACTGGTTATCCATATCACTGAGACAACAACCAGAACTCACACTTGTAATTATCCAATCAAGCCTTACTTTCCTGTCTATGGAATAAAATCACACATTCTGACCATTGACACGCTTCAATGGACATGATGAAACTTGGAATATGGTCGAGATAACTCTAAACCTTATTAGTCCACAACACATACTTGTTTATTCACGTAATGAGTCCGATAAGTGGGCACAGCATCAAATAAACTTCCATATGTTTATATTTTAAGCACTCATAGGTTTTTTTGTATGGGCTATCAAACAGCAAAGTACACCAAATAAGAAATCACACTTTAAACATTATCATGATATAAGCAACAGAGAACAAAGCAAATAGTACATAATCAACTAGCAATAATTAATATGTAGATCCACTGAACGCCCACAGTAAAGAGAATGTAGAAGTACAATAATCCATTTATCTAAACTTAGACAATAATAATTCGTAAAGTAACGTCAAATGTCTAAGCGTCTTCAATACTCCTCCCGTTATACCCACTCACAACTATTGAATTAGCACTAGTTTTATAATCAGTCGTTACATCAACATATGAATGCACAGCCATGATAAACGAGGTTTAAAATAATTGGGAAGAAATTAATCCATCTCACTTCTGTCCCAGCAAATCCCGATAGACATGTCACTAATTTATCCTCCATTGTATTGTCCGTTCATGAGAAGGAGGCGCTTTCTGTGGGTTTTAGTTTTTCTGTCCCTACAATAAATACCTGAATTGACAAGCAATGCCAAATCCAAAAACCTCTATGATCAATTGAGTACTTAGCCCCTTCATCTTAAGAGAGCCAAAGTTGATTTAAAGCTAAATTAGTGGATATAACACACCAGTTCCATTCTCTTAGACCAAAACAGAGAAGCATATTAACGGCTCAGCACTTCAGTTCATTTGAAGAATTGCAAAATAATGCTGATATTATTTTAGTTAAGCATTGCAAAGGGTCAGGTGTCGTTATTATGAATAAGTTTGATTACAAAAATGAAATGGAGTCCATTGTCAGTGATAAAAGCGAATTTATGGCTGATGTTGACTCTGATGAATTACGTAAATTGGAAAAGAAAACAAACACGAATCTAGTGAAATTATTAAACATGAGTGCTATTAACAAAGAGGAGTCTACTTTGTTAAAACATATAGGTTCGGTGTACCCTAATTTATATGGATTACCAAAGATTCATAAGCACCCCCCTTACGTCCAATCCTATCAATGTGCCGGTCACATATAGACAATCTTGTAAAATGTCTGACAAAAGCATTAAACCTAAAGATGCCACAAGCACTTTGAGTTTAACGTCTTAACCAGTAACACCTTTTGTAATGGAAACGTGCCAACCCAGTGAAATCAGAAGCGAAGAGGTTCTGAAATATATTTGATAGAATATCGATGTCGAGAAGTGACTAATCTAAGCTGACTAGCGGTTGTAGATGTGAAGTACGGCGTACTCACTCGTGATCTGGTGCGGATGCGTGACCGTGCGCCTTCAGCTACGTGAGTCCATTAGAACCAATGCGGTCAGTATCAAATGTCGAAGACCTACAGAGCTATTGATTATGGGGATTTATTTACCGCCACAAACTATATCCGAAACCAATTCTGTGGGTATTCTTTGAATGACTCACTTGGATTAATTAAGTACTGAATAGATATTAACAGGAAAGTAAAGACAATGTGCTCCTTTAATGTAAACACTATTTACAAGTGTACCCGTTATGAAGACCATTAATATTTTATATGACTATATCTCATTAGATAACCTTCTGTTGCCATTTTCTGTTAAAACTTAAAGATCGATCATTATGCACTGACAATGTGAAATTCACTCTGAGGGTGAGTTAGTCGGATATACCTGTATTACAGTGTTGATGTTCATATTGAGACTACAATCTAATACCTTGAGCTTCGAACCCCAATTCGTTATCCCAGTCCAAATAACCACTAGCTCGTTCAATGGGTATGATTTTTTTAAAAAACGTGAGAGGAATTGTTACGTAAACGCAATACGTACAAGATACACACACACACACGAAGACCGGACGATCAAGTCACAATCCTAAATATCAACAAAGGAGCAGTCCACACCCCTTACCAATAGTCATAAAATCACGTGTTATCGGGTCCTCAGATTTGTGATAATGATGAACGGATTTTCAGATTCCTTAGTGTAATACTGATCGACTAATGTAGCGTAATAATATTGCATGACCGAGTGATAATTGTTCACAGGACCGAATTATTAATGTAAGTTCTCAAAAGAACTAACATTAAAAGACAACTTGGCAGAGGAACAGTTTTTGCTCTCTAACCAAATAACACACCTACACACAAAGTGTAAGACATGAGAATAAACATGATTGCCTGTCACTTAACAAATAAGTTGTGAGTTGTGCACGTCAATCACAGGCAAAGGAAGTCAAGACTTGACTCAGTAACGTCATGTTATCAACTGACAAGTTCGTATACAAATTAGTCGGTGAAATAAATCTACCATGTCACACTCGACTTCCTTTCCAAGTCCAGATGAACGAAGAGGCTTTGAGCTTATAATGGAGTGACTAAAATAAATGTATATTACTCACACTAAAATATGTAAATGATATGTCCAGTGAGAGTAAGCTGTCATTTCACATTACATGTTGATTCTTTACGACCTCCAATTCTATATTCATGGTTATGTGCGTCTTCGTTGATATTTGCTCCTCGATTAGACAGACTTTGAGTGTCTTTGTTCGCTTTTACATAGTTCACTCTAGTCCATAACACAGTAAGCTACTACCACCACGTCACAAGGAATGAACTTCTTGATATAACCCTCTCCCCACAGTAAACCAACAACGATAGACAGAACACATGTGAAACAGTACTTACATAAGTATGTGGTAAATGAGCATTATTATTAAAAAATTTAAATGTTGCACAAATATATATATGACAAACTATTTCTTAAAATAAAGGATAAATAGAGACAACATATTTCGATTTACTAAGGGAACGTTAGAAAATTAGTTTCGAATAACAATGTGGATTAATGCCAGATTCCCATCAAAATGAAGGGAAAAAGTGACGATCAAAAAATACACTGACGACATAATTTACAAATAAAGAAGAGAGGAACGACGACGGCGGTACAGAATAGCGCTGTGGAGAGAAAAAATTCATTTGTTTCCTGAGAATTTTAATTGTAGCGGTAGTTGCAGTTATGATGATGATGAGAAGTATGAGACACTGAGAAAGCCGGAATATTGTTCTGCCATTTCACATTTCAATCCATCTTCTTAGATTTCTTGTGTCTACCTGTGAAACCAATAATGCAGCAATATAAATACATACATAGATATACATATAACTCAGATATATAGAAATAAACCATGGGGAGAGAGACAAGTAGATAGCATATGTAATATACAATTGAGACAGATAGTCAGGATATTATATTAGATGGGTTCACAAGTTTAAGAAGAAAACAATGTATTACATGACGAAAAAGTGTAAATTGGTTTAAAATATGTACACATTGATGCGAAATCAACGAGGCTATTTAAAAATGGCTTCAGTATTGACGGATAGCGATTATCAAACAAACAGGGAGAGACATAAAGGAAAACAAGATGTATGAATGAACAAATTACGATACCATGTAATGCTGATCTGACAGGACCATTTCAATCGATATTGAGGTGGGTCTATTTCTATGATCAGTTTCCATTGTCATGTGCATCACAAATAATAAATTGACCATGTTCATTTTATTTGTTTAATAAAATTATAAATTGACACAACTGAGCACCAAAATAGGATGAGCCACGAAAAAGGATAACATTGAGCTTCTTCAACGCCGCGGTACGGCTGTTGGTGTGAAGTTGACACTTCCCATAGAAATAGTCAAATATGGCCACAACATTTTAGTTCATGCACTAGAAACCCTACCCACTTGCTTTCACACGGTGCTACCGTTGTTTACTAAATTGGAACAAAGAGAAGCAAACAGGGTTGATGGACACGTAGGTTCACTTAAGCAGGTTAGAAAACCTTAACTCCAGACCAACATCAAAAATTGACCTGCATGATATTGAGGGGACGAATGGCCTATAATCCTATTCGGTTAACGGATAGTATGACACTGCTCCATTACCTTGTGGACTAGACCTTCAAGTCAATGGCTCAGGGACCAGCCCCCTAAAACTGCCTGCTTCGAATTAGCGCCCGCATACAATGTCCTAGTCCACTCACACATATGACAATTGATAATCACACAAACACACTAATTTACAGTAAAAGAAGTCTATCCTTTTTAACCAGGATAATGAACTATAGGAAAGATTAATTGAATCATAAGGATTCATGAGTCACTACAGGTTTTTAATCAAGAGGTGCTTTTTTTATCTGTAATTAGCTTTTATTTTAAGTGGCACTATAAGAGAACTAAAGTAACATTGACAGGATGATGCTACGATCAGATTTTTTATTGTACTACGTAGTTGTCACCAAATAACTAAAAAGCAGGAGGTAGACAAACTACTTTAGGATAAAGCAATCGTTGTATTGAAGCATTTGTCAAAAATATCGATTAAAAAACTTATATTTCAATAGTTGGATAATAACGTGACGTTAACCAACAAGTTTCTACGACAGAGATCAATCATTTAGCCGGTGAGGTAAATAAAGGACAGAATCATATAGACAAATTAGATCAATTATAAATAAACAAGCAGGAATTAAGGTACACCAACACTTACTCTGAACAGGAATAGACTCTTTTCGCTCTGTTCGTTGTTGTGTTTTTGAAGTGAACCTTTTATGTTGAGTCTTATTTAGAGAGCGAACCATCAGTACACCGACTCCGAAGCAAAGGACAGTAGCGATGATCATCACTGAATAAAATCCAAATCGTCCAATATCCGAGAAAACCGCAAGTATGGGATAAGGGTATAAACGATGGATGCGTATAAGGTATTCCACACTGAAAGCGAAATCGATAATCAACACAAACTTAAGGTTCTGCAAGTAACTTTAAGTTGTTTTACAGGTAGCAACATACTTCAAAGGAGAGATGTATGAGTAGTAAATAATCTCTCTTGAATGTGACGGTAAACACGTCGATATCTGTATATTACATTATGAACTACATATAGTTGTGGGGGTTAACAAAACCATAGTCGCTTATATCTGGTTAGTCCTATCAGAACACCTCTGTTATCGAAGGTACTGTGAACCGATGCAAATGTACTAGGTTTTATGTATGACCTTTATTTGTGGAGAGAATAAGCCTGATGGATAAAAAGTGTGGATGTTGGTTTCGTGTTGTAGAGTTAAGCACATATTTCCGGGTCATTTAGTGATTTGCATGAAAGCTCTATAGATAATCCGTTTACTTCTGTAATTAGGTACTTTTACTGTTGCCTAATGAAATCATGTCTTGCTGACGCTAACGTACAGCCCGCATTTAGAATATAAACGGAGCAGTCTGAGAAAATAAAACTACTTGCAATGTTTCCAAAAGATCACATCGGATACTAAAATATTTACTGCAGAACACAATGTGTAGACCTTGAAAATGCCTAGTAAACACCAAAAAGCAAAGCTGTGATGGAACTTACTAGATTACATATCCACCGAAGTATGCTAGAAGAAGCAGTACTGAGTTCGATATAGGAACGATTGTTGGTCTCCACAGTAAAGCGTCAATTATGATGGCAGGAGTTCCAACAGTGTGCTGAAATAAAACTTACGACCAGACTTACACAAGCATGATTATACCACCATGGGGCGAATTTCATTTCAGATTCCTTCGCCAACAAACTCTTATCCGTGATGAAAATGCCCCAGAACATAATACACACAATCTACATATTAGAATCGAAATCCGCTTACTAAATTGGCCGTAAATGCGAGAGCGTATAGTGAGCTGTGCATTTTAAAGTTTTTTAAATACTGTAAAGGAGTCGCCAAAGTATAGTAAACAATTTGAAGTGACTGAAACAGCAATAAGTCTGTGTATCAAAATATCTTACAATTGTCAGGATTGTAAGAAAACGCAATAAAAATGCTAGGTCTTTGAAATGAAACGGACCATTGCCATGAAACAGTTGATAAGTATAAAATACTATGTAAATGAAAAAACACAGTGCAACTGAGCGATATAATACGCTAAAGGCACTGGCCATCGGAATTCGCAGTTTAACTTCAGGACAGAATAAGTTTTCGCGGAATGGTTTATAAAAACAAAATTTGTTCCAATTCAATATCGTCATCGTGTAAACTGGATAATTTCATCGTGCTCGCCATGTTTTTTTCCGGTATGTTTAAATTTCTTTGGATTTCAGAAACACAAATAGTTCAATTGCTCTCGTTTATTACAAGGGATCCTAATCTTTATATAAACCCGGTCTAGCCTAAAATCTTCAACAGAAGATAGTGATAACTCGCTCTCTGGTTGAGAATTCCTCTCATAAGCGGCTTTATACGAGCAAATATCCCAGTGGTTGAAATTTTGACTCAGACTTTTGAAGCCGTTTTAGTACATCTTTCAATAAAACCTGTTGTTAATAAAGAGATGAATCGCAAAATATATACAAATATCACCAATAATTATGCGGTCTGTCGCATGTTGAAATTCAATTTTATGGAAACATTGAAAAATATTCAGCAAATTATATCCTATAGATTAGGTAGTCACATCATGGCGATTCTACATTATTGGATCAGTTACATAATTTTATCAGAATCCATAACTTCACCTTATTCTGATTTAGACATCAATCTTGCAAAACTTTTACTTAATTTGCCTAAATTCGCTTTATTTTATGGGATTGGTTTCTACCTATATTTCAATTACGTATGCCTTGACTGACTTATTAATTTTTTCGTACGCATTTTTTAGTTAATTTATTGGTTTATCAGTTACAACTGTGGATGTTTCCAAATAGTTAAAATTAGTCCACTTCAATTTGAAAATCAGTTTTGACGCATTATCTGGGATCGATAAAATGGAACAATCATAAGACGATAAACAGAAGGATTGTGGACATATGGTTGCACAGAAAATCTGTCTAATTCTCCTAGACCTCTTTTGGAGTAGATATACAGTGGTTATAAGTTTAAATTTCTGCATGATGGTTTGGTTTATACCAGGTGATCACTTGCGAAAACTTTAGGTAGGAAGTCTATCCACTGAATTTATTTAGTGTTAACTATAACCGTAATGTTATGTCCAATGTAACACAAGATTAATCATTTTGAATTCAGAACTCAAGGGCTCGAAGAAGTTATATGAAATGGTTGTTCGTTCCCGCTCTGCCTATCTTTAAATAAAGTTTATACTGAAGTACTGGTGAAAAAAACTAGTTATTCCACTTAATGGGGGTGTTGTAAGGACGGTGAAATGTCACTGGACTTCAGCCAAATGATCCACCAATCAAGTCAAATATTTCATCGGTTCTCGTCAAGCACATTCAACGCGCATCATTTATTCGCACACCATAGACTAGTCAATGCGATGGTCGTAGAAATCTTTTCTTTTTACCTACGCTTACTAATATATTCCTGTAACAACGTTTTTTGCGTTATACAGTCTTCGAAGCAGCCATATACCTGAATACGACGCAAATGTGATCCACGTTTGGTGATGGCCATGAAGTGTGACCTTGAAGATAGCTGATTGGTCACACTGTTCCTGTCTAACTCGAGTTGGCTCACAAGCGTGCGACATTGATCATATACGTTTGTGATCTATACTGGTGTGTATTCTGCAGACTAAACTGTCTTCTTTTCTGGTCATCAAGTATCCTGTATAGACCGTACTTCCGATGTACTGAAACTATATCCTCATCTGACAACTAAGACGCTACGTTCTGCTTAGAACTGCTTACAAGCAACCTTGTGAGTAACGTCCATTACACGAAAACTGATCTGTAATGAAAAATTCCAAAAACGTAAACTGCTGAATGGCTTTTAAACATGCTGTATTTGATCAGTATGAGAATAAATCCTTTTGAAGAGTGGATAACAATCTAGAGAGACATGAACTATACCCTTTCCACTGCAGAGTTCAAGGCATCTGTGGAGTGAGTCGAAGCCGTACTGTCGTTCCTTTGATTTTGAATATTTGAAGTATGTAATATGCGTGAGTGACTTTATTAAACAGCCATCTAATTGGTGTACTATGACATCAGAGTTCGTAACAACAATTATGTAGAAGTACGCTATTTCGACTGTGAGGTTAAGGTTTTGCGATGGATTTATGTGAACGGAAAAAGTATGATGATTTGTACATCTTCAGTCGTAATGTAGTGAACAAGAACACGGGTGGGGACAAACGGATGTATTTAGCACAACAATTACAGTCTATCTCAACAAAATCTGAATACCATATAGTCAAACGTCAATTTGCAAAATATTCATGCATCAAATCAAACAGGACTGTTTCTGTTGCAAACACCAATCCATTGTCTCCCATTCCATTGTTCACGCATTTTCTTACAAATTCCATTATGTTCTCGCTCTACCTTTCTTGATCTTCGCCATCTTCTACTGCCAGACCTTACGCTCTTTTGACGCACGTTATATACTACTTATATCAATATAAGTAGCTCACACCATAGTAGGATTTGGGTCCTTGCTTTCTTGATATGTGCCATCACACCAGCGTCAAGTTCTCCTTGTTTATCAATGATCATGTCGAAATAAGTAGAGCCTTTCATCTCTTCCAAACCTTCTCCGTCAAATATAACTCGATTTGTGTCTCCGTGTTCTGTTTGAAGGGCTTGGTTCATCTCTTGTGGATGTTAAGACCTGCTGCTATGAAGGTCGCCGTCACACTGCTTATCTTCCCATGCATTTGTCATTGTGTATTGGATAAGGGAGAAGATCATCTGTGAAGTACAAATTGTACGTCTGTACTCAAGCTGTCGATTTCACTCTGTGCTTCTCTCACATGTGGAGGTCTTTTAAATCCGATCGGCCACCAGGAAAGAGAATAGGTAAAATGTGAACAGCTTTGTCTGACACTGATCCTCGCTTGATATCTATCTATCAGCTAACCCGCATACATGACTTACAGTGCAGTCAGTCATGTGGATACCGCGCGCTGTTGACAAATTTCTCATACACATCATGATGTTGAAAAAGGGTCCACAAATTCTCCTACTCACGCTGTTCAGCGCCTTCTCATGGTCTAGGAATTCGAGACATGTCGACGATCTCCATCCAATTGATCGCTCAACGATGATCCGTAGTGTTGCGGTTGGTTCTGTACATGACTGATATCCACACAATCCAGCCCGTTGATCTCAAAGTTGTGCATCTACTCAGTCTTTCATGCGGTCCAGCTACACTCTGTTGGAAACTTCCCGTGTAACTGACAGTGGTGTAATGCCTCTATAGACTTTACATTTACTGAGGTCTTTCTTTGGTATCTTGATGAGATATCCTACTTTCCGGTTTGTCGACACTTGTTCTTCTACACAATTCTTCCTCATAAGAAAGTGGAGCATTTTTGCAGATGCCCCTGTCTAATGTTAGTACTTCGACTGACGTATTGTCAGGTCGTGTTGCCTTCACACTGTTGATTTTTCCGACGGCCGTTTTGATTTCTTCGATCGTTAGTAGAGTGACATCTGTAGGAATGTCTGTGTGTGTTCTTTCGATACAAGTGTTTCATGAAGTATTCTACCTATCTGCTGCTCTGTTCTTAAATTTCAGTGACTGGCTCTCCTTCTTTTTCCTTGATCGAGATCACTAGCTAACCATATTTCTTTGCCAGTTTCTTCGTCGTGTCGTATATTTGTTTTGGCTGTCATTGCTGGGTTTTTCACGTTTTTCTGATTGGTAGTTCTAATGCCCTCCTTCGCTTGCTTGTTCACTTCCGTGTACTTAGTCTGTGTCTTGACTTCCCATGTTCTTGTTCAACTATAAACTTAATTAGTTTGGAAACATTTTGTGAACCAACAAATGTTGTAATTTCTAGATCATGCCTGTAAAAATGGTGTGTACCTGCACATGCAGAAATATATTATTATTATTCCGTTGGTAATTACTGTCTTCCTGTTTTTTATTTCTTGAATTTTGTCCAGGGTTTCGATTGAAATCGACTTCTTGCGGCCCTGACTAGTTGAAGAGAATACATCTTTGGTCCCTTTCCAAGTGTCCGCCATCGTAGTTTCAACTTCAGTGGGTAGATCTTGTAAGGCTTGTAACCTGTTGTTCAGAGTTATCTTCATATCATTGTGTCACAAGCAGATGGTGTTCTGAAGCAATGTCAGCTGATCTACTGATTCTCACGTCTTCCACTGTCTTTCTGTATTTTTATTGAAACAAATATGTTTTGTCTGTTTCTGCAATAAAACCTATGTAATTTTGTGTATGCAATTGTGTGGGAACATTGTTCCACCGAAAACCAGTTTGTTGAATAAACATAGCTTTGTAAATAACTGCCCATTTTCGCTTCCCTTTTAGTCCATGTCTTCCCATGATATCGTCTTGACCGTTGCTGTCCATTACGACTCTGTGGTTTAGATTCTCCATAAGGATGGTTAGAACAATTCCTGAGCATTTCGCTAATATCGATTTCAGCTGCTTGTAAAACTGATCTTTGCCGTCGTTGTTGCTATCACTGATGGATGTATAACGTTCATTGTGATTCCCTCCTTCGTTGTTTTGAGGTACGCATTAATTACTAGGGATCCATGAGATTCCTATCTTGTAAGTGCATTTCGTGCTTCTTTGGATAGCATTAAAGCAATTCCCTGAGTGTGCGGAGCATTTTCTATTTCATAAACAGAGTACAGCAGCATCTCTACCGTATCTAGCCTTTG